GGGGGGGGTGTTGGGCTCGGCCTTTGTGGCTTTGATGTTGAGGACTTGATGTGGAAATGGGGGGTCCTTGGAGAACCCAATGCCCCTTAATCAAGAAATATACCTTAAATCATAATATTAAGACCCCTATAATTTAAGGTATATTCCTTAATTAAGGTGTATTGGGTTCTCTGGGTCCTGATTGGCCTGAAGAGTGAAACTTAAGCGTCGAGTTCCTGGTGTCGCCAAAGGGCTCAACCGGCACCCGGCCCCCACTATCTCGAAGTACTCTCCCTTCCCTCAGGATTCCTGTCGGCTCCCGCCCTCGCCTGGTGTCGCAGCCACAGAAACCTCGAGACAGGCCGGCATGAGGAGTCTGCCGCTGCTAGAACCCGCAATCCAACATGAACATAATCCAACCTGGCGACTCGGAAGCCTACACCGCATGCCGCTCTTGGCGAACTTCAGACCCCAGACAGCCAAGTCCCTGAATCCGCATGTGTCAACGGCCCAGCGACGATGTCGGCTCCTCTCACGGAGGATGCGGCACCCTCTGCCACAGAGCCACCGATGGAGGCCTCAAGGGACAGACACTAGCTGCGGGCCGACGAAAGTGACCGGAAGGAGAAGGAAACAAAGAGACGATGAAGCTCAACAAGATTGATAACATTGATAACATTACATGCAACAGCAGCAGCACAACAACTGCAGCATGATAAAAAGAATCAATGCCGACAACTCCTGCAGCAAGGCAAGTGCACCCAGTTGACATACAACAAGTAGAACCCCATAGCTGATGTCACAACACATTCGCGCCAACTCCAGAAGGCTCAAAACGGAACCTTGTCGTCCATGTCCACGTCTGCGTTGGAAGGGGCCTGGCAGTTTGTAGGTCGACATGATCGCAGTTCACTGCGCTTGTGCTAGTGATGCTGGCTCAAGCAGAGCACATGAAGTGACATGTTCGCGATGATATTACGGATGGAGAGTGCGAACGGGAAGAATCACTAAAGGTACGCCACTTCAGCCCGGAATATGCGCCTTCTTCAGCTCGTTCGCCTCCTTCTCCTGGCAAAGCTACTAGGCTACGTAGCTAGGCGTGTTGGAGGCTGATGTTTGGCAAACCGTCTGATGTTCTTCGCTCCGATAAGATCTTCATCAAATCAATCCTGTTGCAGCTAAAATCCTAAAAAACCCTGGACCCTTAAAACAGGCCTAAACCCTACCCCCTCAGGCACCAAGCTCTAACCCAAACCCCTGCCCCTCAATCACTAAACCCTAAATCCTAATCCCCAAATCACTAGACGCAAAAACCTAAGCACTAAATCACTAAACCTTTAACTCTAACCCCTAAAGCACTAAACCCTGAGCCCTAAACGCAAAGCCCAAAGCCACTAAACCTTCACCCGACACCATCGCAACCACTCCCTTGTTCTACACAAAAAACGACTTCAGAAATCTCAACTTTAACCGAAAAGGCTGGGGAGTGTGGTGCAGGGACTTCTGTTACACTCGTTCTTCTAACAATCATGATACTCAGTGCGACGACGACGACGACGACTAATTACTACTACTACAACTACTACAACTGCTACTGCTACTACGCTTATGATTATCGTTATCATCATTGTAACTTATGGTTATTGTTGTTGTCATTATTAGTGGTATTACTCTTATTATTATCATGATTCATACAACGATCATTACTTGTGGTAGTAGTTGTAGTAGTCGTCGTCGTACTAGTAGTAGCTGTTGTAGTTGTAGTTATAGTTGCTGTTGTTGCAGGAGTAGTCCTGCTATACTTGCGTGGCGAGGAATCCCTGAACCCTAAACCCTAAACCACAAAAACCCAAAATCCTAAACCCGCCCCAAAACCCCTAAACACAAAGCCCCATAACATCCCATAACCCAAAGCCCCATAACCCTAAACCCTTATCCCTAAGACCCTAAACCCTAGACGCGGCGAGGACTGTCTCGCCTTCTTCTCCTTGAGCTGCTTGGCTTTGGCTGCCGTGGAGAGAACCTTCGAAAGTATAGGTTTAAAGTCCCGATTTTTTGAAGGAGGTGGTTTAGGGTTTAGGGTTGTAGGTTGTAGGGTTTTAGGGTTGGTTAGGCTTCAGGGTTTACTTAGGGTTGCGGATTTAGGGTTCTTTGTTTGGGGTTTAGGATTTATGGTCCAGGCTTCCGGAGGTGGCTCCCAGCGGGTTACTATGAGGGCATTGTAAGGCTGCCGCAAGGGTTCATGAGGCTAGCATGAGCGCATTTTGGGAGCGTGGCGTCATAGGAAGCAGCATCCGCTCGTCTCGCTAAAGCAAGCTAGTTGGTTGTCTGCCCTCTGACAACCCCCAAACCATCGGAAAGCCTAAACCTTGGAAACCCTAAACCTGAAGCCCCAAGCCTAAACGCTGCAACCCTAAACCCGAAACTCCAGAACCTGTAATCCCCCGCAGATGCAAGACCTGGGCCCCGCACTGCTGTCGCCGCCTTTGCCGTCTCCTCCTTCTTTGGAGGCTGCATGGGCTCCGGGTACCTTGATTTAGGGCTCAGGGTTTTTGGATCGGTTTGGGAGGTTAGGGTGGTGTAAGAATGATTTTGAAAGCATGGGCTTTCGAAAAGCCCAGCAATACAGCAAGCACCGTGAAGCACCGTGAAAGCAAGCTCTATGGCAGACATCGCACCAAAAACCCAAAAGCTCCGTTTCCAACACCCGACATACGCACCTAAGCCTCTAAGCACTAAGTCCCCTTCAACTTTAATTATATACACCCTTTAGCCCTAAGCCCTAAACCCGAAACCCAAAACACTAACCCTAAACCCCAAACCCTCAGTGGGGGCACGCAAAGAGCGACGGCCTCGCTCCGCTCCGCACCTGGTTTTTTGGGTTTTGGGTTTAGGGTAGGGGTTTAGGGTTTAGGGTTTAGGGTTTAAGGTTCCGCACCTGGTTTTTTGCGTTTAGGGTAGGGAAGGAAGGCCCCCGAAATCAGCGTGATGCCTGCGAAGTGGGAGCCAAAAGCTCGGGAAGTTTGAGCCATGGCTACTTTGGAGGTGCTTAGAGCTTGCTTAGGGTTTAGGGTTTAGGGTTAAGGGGAGTGTGCAGCTTAAGACTTCCAGCTTCTTTCTGGATTTGGGTAGAAAAGTACCCTGGCCTATAAACCGCCGGGAGCCCCAAACGGGGGTTGCGCTGTCACTCTGCAAAGCCTCGCCGCGTGCCGCAGAAAATGATGCATGGTGATGGCGAGATCACTCTGATGCTGATGATCCTCATCATCACTCCATCCTCGTCATCCTCGTCATCATCATGATGACCATGATGATCACTGCTATCAACGTTATCTGCTTCGTTTTTTGGCGGTGCCATGCTCGCCTCATGTAGCTGGCTCGGGAACAGCAGACACCGAAACACCCTGCCCCTAACCCACGGTTTAGGGCTTAGGGCTTAGGGCTTGCAAGGGCTAGGGTTTAGGGCCAAGTTTAGGGTTTAGGGCTTTTGGGGCGTGGGGGCTGCCAAGGCTTCTAAGCTTTGGGCTTCCCGCGGCCTTTGCTCGCTTCAACCTTCGTCTTGAAGCCCAAACCCAGAACCTTAACCCTAAACCCTAAACCCAGAACCTCGACCCTAAACCCTAAACCTTAACCGCCTTAGCCCCTAAGCTCCGTAAACTTAAGCCCTACGGCGCGAACCCTGGAGCAGCCCTGAGCCGAGTAAGGGGAGCCTACGGTGGTGTCTATAGAAAACCTACAGAAACCCTTAGATGTTTTTACATATATATATATATATATGTATATATTATTACTATTATATATTATATATGTATATGTATATATCCATTTGAGGGACCCCTAAAAAGGGGCCCTAATTTAGAGAACAATAGTCCCTGACACAAGTCCTTGGTATTCCTTTCTCCACCCTCCCAAAAACCCCAGCCGGGCTGAGCTGGAAACGGAGAAGTTCTTGGGAATCTTCAGCTTGTCGGTGATGCCTCGCTTGTGGGAATCTAGGCCACTGAGTTTGACATCTATGTTTAGGGTCTAGGGTTTAGGGGTTTAGGGTTTAAGGGTTTAGGGTTTAGGGTTTAAGGGTTTAGGGTTTAGGGTTTAGGTGGCAAGCTACAGGGTTGATGTCTTTGCGTGGTGGTTTCTCGTGGACGCCCCATCTTCGTTCTTGGAGCCTTTTGTGGCTTTGCTTGAGAGCTCCTTTCTCGGGGATCAGAGGACCTGTTAAGTAGCATGACGATTGGGATCGTACCTTCCCTCAGTTCACGTATCTTCCTCAATACGTAGAATGGGGTTCTGGGTCCCATTATGGTAATTTTTTCATTCATTCAAAGCGCAGCGTCCGGTAGAAAGGACGCTTTGCGACCGCTCGAGAACAAGCCTTAAAGGCTCGGCGTGAAGCTGCACAACGCGCTACAGCACTACGTGCATTCTCTACAAACTGCTACT